CCCCTGGCTCTCCGTTGGCCTCTTTAGGTTGGACATGAATTGTGATTGAGAAAAGATTCGAAATTTTTCATGTTCCTGAAAGTAGTCGAACATATGCAGCTGCTATCATATATGAGAAAAGTTACCAATTGCTAAATTTAAACCATTTGAATATCAGGCCTTCAATTGTGGGTGCCCATTGTTATTACCTTGGCTCAATGTGTTTGATATCATATAGTAATACTATTTCTGTTTCTTTATGGTCAACATTTGTCTTTTATTTTTCTTTTGTTTGAAGTTCACCCTTGAGATATATGGCTTACTTGTTCTGACATTATTTCTCCTGTCATTTTCTTTTTCCTTCCATCATTTCCAGTTTCTTTGCATTTGGGTCCTGAGAGACTATTTAAAGCATGACATGAGAATACCGGATGCCGTAGTGGACGCTGACTTGGAGAGATTGGTTGATGATTTTGTCTTTATGTGTTTGTTTGTTGGAAATGATTTTCTCCCCCACATGCCGTCATTGGAAATATCTGAGGTCTGTGCCCCCTTTTAATATAGCCTGCTTTAATTTACAGGACTAATCTATTGTTGCTATTTAATTCATCCATGAGTAATATTATTTTCTCTCTGTCTCTCTGTCTTTGGGGCTCATATATACCTTAGATATTCTGGTGTATCTTTCATTTATCCTTGGATTTCTGCGCCCACATGTTACATGGCTTATCTTAAGCTTGTTAATTGATTTGAGACTTATGGCAGGGTGCAATCGACCTACTCATTACTGTTTACAAAAAGGAATTCAACCAAATGGGTGGTTATTTGACCAATTCCGCTGAGGTAGGCAGTATGTTCACACCTTTATCATGTTTTATTTAACTGCTGCATGCTGGGTTTGTGCTGGAAAAATTCTTTAGGAGTTACTTTTTCTGAAATGTAATTGTATAGGGTTTTATTTTTTAACTTCTGTTTGTATTTTAGTGTTTCTAGAGTTTATGCTTTTGGGAAACCTTGTCTTGATACCCTTTTACTTTTCGGACATGCACCCTCTTGGAAACTACAGCACTGCGTGTGACAATCAGGAAAAAAATTGTAGCAAAGCATTTATGCTTCCTATTTATGTTACAAAGTTATGCATGAAGCTTCTTTCATTTATTGAGGAGGATCTGAAAGTCTTTTTATTTGTGGATGAATAGGTGGATTTGAAACGTGTTGAGCATTTTGTTCATGTTCTTGGATTGTATGAAGATGCCATATTTAGAAGGCGTAACCAGGTGATATGATATGCATCACATGTCTCATTATGCATGGAGTTGTTTATTTTATATGTCTTGCTTATATCTACAATTGTTGCCAATGATTTTCTCTTGAGTTTCTCTTTATGCAGTCTATTTCATTTTCCAAAGCGATATTTTTGCAAACTACCCAGGACCTGATTTAAACTTCCACTGAGATTCCTTGTTTTGTTGGTTTAGTAACTTTGGTCGTATACTAGTGGAAAAATATTCCGTATATTGTGTTGTCTCCATAGCATAAGAGGGACAGATTCTTCTCCCTATCCTAGATTCACAAGGAAAGTCGAGGAGGGCATCTTCCATCGAATCCATTAATTTATGTTCATGAGGTTATATCGTGTGTAGTTGCCTGGAGGGTGCAAGATTGAAAGGACATATTAGCTTCCATATCTTAGATTCACAAATGTAGGTGAAGAGGAGGTCTTCAATTCAATGTATGTCAATGATGTTATCTTGTGTGTAGAGTTGTCTGGAAGGTGCAGTACTTAAAGAATGGGTTCATGTTATAGATGCTAAACGAGATTGTGCTGTGGGTAGAATCTTTGAGGCGAGAGGCAGCGGGAGGGTGTGGTTGAAAAGTTGTGCTGCTTGAGTGGTTTATGGTTCATGCATAGACTACAATTGTTGTCAACTTTAGAGTTTTTTTTTTTTTGAATGAAATTTTAGATTTTGTTGTATTGGTACCTTGAACTGGGGCTCTTTTTCACCTTGGATGTGGAAACTGTCGTGGACTTGTGGAAACAATGTTTTGAACCCAATTTCCAGTGAATCAAACTGTCTGCAAACATAGTTTGATTCATCATGGAGATGCTGGACTTGTAAATCTCTGATCCACCTGGGGATTGCAGCCTTTATTTATGTAGCTGCCATACATCTTTGAGTTGTAGGAGTTTGCTCGATCTTAGCAGAAATTGACCTTAAGGGCTGTATGAAATGAAATTGGAGAACCACAGTGAGTTGGACTCTGCATTTTGAAAGGTGGCTGTCCCTTTTGGATTTCAATGCCTTGGCCTAGGAGTGCTGGAGGGTGGGTAATATGTGTTTGAGTAATGAGATGGTATGAGTCTTCACTTTTAGCTGTCAAAATCCCTGATATGAGGGATCCCCTATGGGTCTGGGAAACTGACCAAAGCATTTTTCATGGGCGTGAAAGGCTTAAAAATGTTCATCAAGGAGAGTTTGTTCTGTTGCCTATCTTTCCATCGTTATAAAAGCTTATTTAGCGCTGAACGCTGATCAGAGAAAACTATGTTGAGGAAAGGAGGTCGTCACTGTTTCCCCTGGTTTGAGGTTGTGTTTGGATTCACATCTTCCTGATGATGTAGGTTATTAAAGTCGTCCATACGCTTGAAATTGCTTGAGTAGAGAGGTTTTGGACCAGGGAAAAGATCCCGCTATATTTGTTGGTTAGTGCTGCTCCTATTAGCGTGGTGGAATGAATTTCCAATTAAGATTGTCGTCGACAACCTTAGGGATACTCAAATGGTTCCCGTGCGCATTTGGTTTAATTCATGATGATTGGTATGGAAATTACCAATTTACTTGACAATAAGCAAATGTTGGGTCTTTAGTCCTTTTGTATTTGCTCTCATAAGTTGCAGGAATTTGGTGTTTAATAGTGTTTGAGCAGAAATATGCATTGTGTGGGCCTATGGACTAGTTTTATTGTCATTTTTGTTCATGAAGTAGATGACTGTTTTCTTTTTGGTTCTTTTAATCTGGTAAAGTCTCTTTATTTTTTGGGATTGCATACTGTGAGACGGAGCTGACCCCAAATAATTGGGTTAAGGCTTGGATGATGATGAGGATACTGTGAGATCATTTACCTACAATGAGGTCACAATCTTCCATAGCTATTGGATGTCTCAGTCGACAGCTCGAAGTGTGACATTAAGTTTAAAGAATTTTCATTTGGACTTTGAGCCCTGTCACTAGGATACCTCCAGCCCTCACAATTTCACCTCCAATGGTCAAGGTTGATTATGACCTCCTTGCACCAAAGTTAAATGGTCTATTCTGTAGTCTGTACTTCTCATTTTTTTTAACTAATGTGCTGAATTCCTTTCAGTTCCAGAAGAACAATTTAAGCAAGGATCAACTATATAGCAAGCAGGGGAGAGGCGGGTCTTCTTTTACCCGAGCAAAAGGATCTAAAGATTTCTGGTCATCATTTTCTGTCACTTCAACACCAATGAGTGAAACTTCACAAACTTGTGGTGAAAACGTAAGGGCTGTGGAAAATTACTACTTACCATTCCAAGCATGATTAAATTACTTTATCCTCATTCTGCTAGGAATTTTGATTGGTATACCTCAGGCTGTTGAAATGGAGCGACAGAGTGTTATGTATGGTTTGTGTACGGCGGTGTCAGTTGCTCCGGAATTTGGAGGTGCAGATGTTGACAAGGTATTTATAGGTATCTTTGTGTCTATCTAGTTATGGAAAGGCATTTCTTTGTGTTTATCTTTGTGTCTATCTAGTTATGGAAAGGCATTTCTTTGTTATACGGGTGCTTTAAAAGCATGAATTTAACAGGTGAAACTAGGGGAACCAGGATGGAAGGAAAGGTATTATGCTGAGAAGTTTCCTGCTGTGACTGAAGATGAACGCAAAGAACTCATTAAAGATGCTGTAAGCCAATCCATAGTTTCTGTCTCCATTTGATAATTTCCTTTATATATGGAAAGTAGTGGATAGGGATCTCTTTTTTGACGAGCCTTGATGGCTTGGATTTCATTTAGTCATCGTAGAACAGGCAGGAAGTAGTCAAAACTGTGTGGGGGTATGGCTGTTTTTGGAAATGACTATATCTGTCATGTACTTGTTCATTACCATCAGAAGCCTTGTTGATTATCTGAAACTATATCTTTGACAGTTGAGATGTTCTTGGTCTTACTCTCTTTCAACCAATTCACTGAGGTATGTGATGCAGGTCTTGAAATACACTGAAGGGATCTGCTGGGTCATGCACTACTACTACCAAGGAGTTTGCTCCTGGCAATGGTGTGAGCTGAGTTTTGTTTTTTGTATTTATAATATTTTATTGTTATCTATGGTATTTGTGTCCTTGTACTTCTTGTTGCATAAAAACCTTCTCTTTTCTATTTGTTGTTACGTAAAAACCTTTTCTAAAATTTTGCTTCTTTTCTTTGATATACTGAAGACTCTGTTGCTTTTAATTTTCTGGAATTTTGTCTGTTTGGCGGTATCTTTTATATGTTTCTTTGCATTAATTTCACATCAGTTACAATCTCAAATGCAGGTATTATCCTTATCATTACGCTCCATTTGCATCTGACTTTCATGGTCTGGATCAAATAGGAATCCAGTTCACCTTGGGGGTACCGTTCAAGCCTTTTACTCAACTAATGGGAGTCCTGCCAGCTGCAAGGTTTGCTAACATTGTTTCCAAAATGCTCGTAGCTTGCACTGATTTTCCTTTTAAGAATCTACTTACATGTGCCGTCAGCAGTGCACATGCGCTTCCAATATCTTACCAGCAGCTGATGGCAGATCCAATGTCGCCTATTGCTGATTTTTATCCTAGTGGTATGACTATTTTATACTATTGTTACTGAATTATAACCAGTCTCTAGTTACACCTGAGGCTCCTGATTATTGTTGATGTTATTATGGCAGATTTTGAGGTGGATATGAATGGAAAACGTTTTGCATGGCAGGTACGATTGAGATTCTTAATCCACTTGCTGTTACTTTTGGAAAACAAATATAAGAATCCTTCATTGGCAAGGCTAGCTGCATTATTCAAAATTTAAAATATTAAGTATTAGGCTCCTACCCTGCTTCTTATGCCCATGACTGGCTATTGAAGCCAAGAGATGCTAATATATGTAAGTACATGAATGGGCACTTGTGCATGTCTTGATTGTCTATTGTTTGGTTGTGCAATTTAATTAATTGGGTGCACACAGAGATCACAACTCTACGATGTTGTAAGCGATATAATGGTTATAATGTTTGAGAAAGCTGCTTGGGGGCAGACCTCGGTTCCTGGCTGGTTCAAGTTACTTGGTTGAGTCCGAGGGGGACTTGCTGAAATTCACCCCTAGTTGCTCGAGAATGCAAAAATCCCAAAATAAAATATAGAAATTTAGAAAAATAAAAAGCACATACAAAATTAGTTTTAAATCCATTATTATTGATTTAGTAAAAAATAAATCACTTATATGAATTCAAATTGAAAACAATGAAATTTACCCAAAAATTCAAGGCCATTGCCCAACCCCTTCGTGCTTGTTGCAGATCGATGCCCGCAATCTTTGTAAAAGCTTCCTCAGAGAATCCAAATGGAAATCCCAAATGAGATTTGGGGTTTGAGTTCGGATCTAGTTGATCCGAGCTCTTGAAAATTCTGGGTGAACTGGAAATCCAAAATTTAAAACTCACGAACCCAATATTTTTGTTTCTTTGGTAAGAAACAAGCGTAGGAACGGATGAAGAACCCAAAAACAGGCCTAGGAAACACTTTTTGTGAAGATCAACCAACTGTTTCATAGAAATCACAGATTTTGAAATTTGGCAAAACCGAGGTCGAAATCCTCTCCCTCTCATATCCATCAAATGTGATTGTTTTGGCTTTAATATGAATTATGAAATGGATAAATCTTACAAAAATGAGACTATGGGCAAAATTTGAGTTCAAATGGGTGTGGGTATGATCCAAAACAAAGGAAAAATAAGAAAAAGAGAAGGGGCAGTGGGGGTTTGCTGGTATAAAATGATCCAAAACAAAGAAAAAGAGGGCTGGATTTTCCGCCCCTGTTAGTGGATGCGCCGAGTCCACCAACACTGGGCCGAGTTTCACAGTGCTTGGGGAGTTTCTACAACAACTCACCCAAGTACTAAAGCTTTTTATATACCTCTTCCTTCCCTCTTTGGAGGTCTTTTTTTTTGTTTTGTTTTTGGGGGTGGGAGGTTGGTGTGCACTGGCTTAGCAGGGTGCACAGGCTGAGCAGACTCGTCGGAGTTTGCAAACATTGGATATAACTCATCTGGGGATCTTTGCTTCTTTCATAATCCTTTATCATCTGAATGATTGACTGTTTTTTCTGAGTGAACAGGGTATTCCCAAATTGCCATTTATAGAGGAGTTTCGTCTTCTTGAAGAAATTGCAAAGGTGGAGCACACCTTAATGGTAAGATATGGTTTATGAATGGAATTGATGCGATTTTCCTGAAGGAGAATTGCAATTACAGAGATGCTTTGACACTCAGCTGGATGTCCTTGTTACTGGTTTTAGTTAGGTTATTCTAATTAGATGGTTGACTTGTAGGATGAAGAAAAACAGAGAAACAGTGTTGGCATAGAGATCCTATTTGTGCACACTTCACATCCTTTAGCAATGGAGATCCTTTCCTTATACAGGCGAGATCTGAATTATCCTAGGTTGCCAGAAGCAAGTGTAAAGGAGAAAATTGATTTTAAGATAAGGTGTGAATAAATGCTCTTTAACATGCTCCAAATGCGTTCTTTCTAATTACAGAGTTTTTAGTTTTGAATATCATATTAAATATATAATGTGCTGAAATATGCATTTTCTTAATACTGCTCTCTACCTCAGCACGGATAGTTGTGGGTTTTGTGAATCCCCAGCTTATATCTCTCTGAATCTGTGGCATGTATGCCCTGTCATGATATGCTATCTGGTAAATTTTCCTCTACTATTCCCATATTTGTTACTCATCAATGCTTTTGATGTTGTATATGGTTTATGTAATTGGAGGTTTGGCACGAGACTACGGTGAGCGTCCCTGAGGATATGATATCATTTACCTAGGCAAGCACCTTTCTTGAAAATTTAAGAAAATAAATATTTTATAAATTTCAAATATCACATGAATAGGATTACATTGAATATATGCACTGTAAATCATAATTTGATGTGTACGATAGATGTGAAGTGTGAAACATACACTTTGGTGGGGCCCATTTAGATATTTTTGGATAAGCAGATGGGCATAACCATTAGGTGTTCTAGATAATTAATTTTCTGGGGTACTTATGCATATCCATAATGTGACTTGACTAGGTGATTGTCTGCTTGGAAAGCTTTCATATGTAGTTTGTTCTGAACTCTTGTATACTTGGCAGTTCAAACCAGTATTCAAAGAAATTGTTGACCTGGGGCTCGGACTAGCCTTAAGCTATGTCCAGAAAAGCATAGGAGGGCATTTAGGAACAGGGACAGGTAGGGACGAAACCCCCCCGCCCCCCAAGAAACTTAAAAAAATAAATGAAAAAATGACAAAAGACTAGGGAGTTCTTAGGGCAGGGTTGTAGGCCTTTAGGGAGTTTTTAGGTTTAAGAGCCCCCCAACCCCTCGTGATAAAAAAAATCAAATATTAGAGAACAGATTTACAAATAGAAAGACTCAGAGATTGTAAGACACATCAAATCGTTTGAAATCCCAAATGTCATTGTAGTAAACTAGAAATAATACACAAATTTATAAAGGCGATACTCGGCCATGCATCAAAAGTCAACATGACAAACAACTAATGAATACATGTCACGACCCCAAAACTCAAATGTGAACTAGACAACTCTATGGAATCACCACTCGGGGTGTTCAAGTGGATCCAAAGGAGCATCTGATGATGATGTAGGTTGGGTTAAGGTGTGGTATATGGGAACTTAAGCTGTATAGAGCAGGCTAAGGTTCATGGGGGACTATGGTGTAGGGAGTAGGGTTGGGATAGGCTAAGGTGTATGGTACTCTAGGGTGTATGGTGTATGGAGTAGGGTTGGGATAGGCTATAAGGTGTATGGAAGTTGTGGATCCTAGGGAGTATTCTGCTCTAGGGGTATTTTCTCTCTGTAAGAAATGTTTCTCTCTCCTCTCGTTTTGAACCTTGAACTTGCAACCAAAGCAAAACCAAAAACTAAAAACTCAAGAATCTCTCTCTAAAACACTCAAGTGTTAAAGTATTTTATTCCAAAATGAAGAGCCTCCAAGAGAGAGATTACAAATGCTGTGGGTTTCCTTATATAGAGCAACCACTAAACAGGGGTGGAATGCTCAAAAACACCCAAGATTGTCAAAAAATACACATTTAATTAATAAAAATATTAATACCGTATTTGGCCCAAATGACCAAAATACCTCTAGGCTCTTTTCAGCAAATGACAAAACCATCCCTCCATGAGGGGCCTCTTGCCATTGCTAGGCCTCGGGAGCTTTTTTGAACATCTAAAGTGGTAAGTTGTTATATGTCATTTTTGAAGTATAACAACTTCCTCAAAAAAAACGGACATGACGAAAACCCGCAAGGGCATCATGGGTAAAAGAGTCAAAGAAAAGAAAAAGAAAAAATGGTGGGCATAATATGTGGCCTTAAGCACGAGGTCTATGCAGTGTGCTGCACAATGGGACCAGAAAATATGTGGCCTCTTCTCCATCAATAATCTTGCAGCTGCCATATTAGCTGAGAACATATTGGTTGATACTTGGACCACTTTATCCTCCCCTATCTCCTATATGCACTGGTCCACAAAATTAAACTCGTCAAAAGCATCAATAGACTTCAAGAACATTGCCCCTATTGGACAATTCATTATCAAATTCATAATGCTTTTGCCTCTTATGACTGGGCAACCATATATACCCCACACATACCTATGGATCTTCAAATAGTTATTGGTGAGCTCCACTTCTTTTCTAAGGAATGACCCTTTAAGCTCATATGCAGTTTCAGCCTTAAACCTTGGTTCCAAATTGACCCACTACTTCCAACATAGTGTGGACGCTACTCAAGTTAGTGGCGTTAAGAAACGCCTGCTGGGAAGACCCGCTTTGCCTTATATTGGGCCACCTTAACTCTGTCTTCTTTTTTGAAGTGGGTCTCTAAACATTTTGAGCCTGTTATCATGGTAGAATCTCAGGATCAGGCGGGGGAAGAAAGCATCCATAGGCCCGCTTCTTTTTGGCCTATTAGAAGATCCAACCTTAATATAAACGTCTTCTTCCTCTTCTCGAACTCCAAAAATATCTACACTCCATAAACTTTCTTCATGTCTTTTCCTCGCCTCCTCTTCTTGTTTTTCACCCCCTCCAAGTGCTCTTTCATCTCTCTCCTAACCTCAGTTGGCACTAGAGTGCATGGGGCGACATCCCCTCAAATGTTGGCTAATGTTTCTTCAATGTGTTGATGTCGACATTATATGACTTTTTACAAAACTTGCACCCCACTCTATTCTTGTTAAGGGGATTTGGACAAGATCGATACTTCTAACCTGGATCACCTTGCTTGATCCATTACAAGACATTGTCATAGAGACACAATAATTGATAGAGTATCAATGTGAATCACCTAATAAGTGAACTTGTGAAATACACAAGATTAAAGTACTAAGAAAAAACATAAGAAAAAAAATTTAAGTTTTAAATGTAGATATAAAAGAAATGAATTGGGTTTCTGTGAGTCAGTTGACTCATACTGTGCACATGCGGGCAGGCCCCCACTTATCTTAGAATTTGATTTTTAATCCAAAATTTTAGGGATTCATGGTCTAGGTTAAGATGATAATGAATATGAAAAAAAATAAAATTTACAATATTTAAAATGTGATTTTTTTACAGAAAATTTCTACACCGTTTAAATTCATTTTAGCTATGAGTTTTTTACAATGTCCATCTTAGAGATGGTTGTTAGTGAGTCAACAAGCTCTTGCACCCACTGACTCATAAATGACTTTTCCAAAAAAGAAAATGCAACTACATAAAAAAAGAAACTTTACAATATTGTGAAACTTCCAAACTTCATAACATGTGGAAACAAAATGAAATATTAAAAACCACATAATGTTTCATATTTGGTTATCCAAAGTTCCAAGCTAACAAAAATCACATAATATGAAGCTATGAGTATATGATATCAATCTAAAAAAAAATTTAATCACATAACTTGAGTTAAGATATAACATAACTATCAACTAATATCCATAAGGTTTGGTTTTATTTATCAAATATTCACAAAATATCAATTTTCATTCAAAGTTTAAGACTAATCACAAAATATAAATTCAAAATCGGTAAATTTTCCATCCATAAATATGTAAAAATATCAAAACAGTAACAAAATTAATAGAATATCAAAACATCACACAATGTACAAAAAAACATCACTTGTTCATAAAACAATTCGATATTGGCCCAATTTCATCTTCCAAATGACGAAATAATAAATTAACTATTATGCCTAGGCGGGCGCCTAGACGCAAGCTGCCTAGGGGTCCACCTAGTTGCTGCCTAGGCATTTTTGGTTGCCTAGGCGAATTTTGCGAACATTGGCCTTAAGTCGCTTGGACCTAGATGCTGGTTTTGGATGACTAAAAGTCTGACCCGACTCAAAGATTCTTGTACATTTTCTTTATTGAGACTCTGTTGACTCGGGCATTTCAATCCGGCCAAGTTGCTCGGGACCCTGGTAAGTCTGAGGCCAAATGCGGGCTTTTAAGAAAGGGTTTCAACAGCTTGTCATGGTTATAGAAATAACCAAATAGCAGATATATCCTCCTTCAATTGTCTATTCATATGTATACTTACCTCCTAACATGCTTGTTCAGACAACTAGAGGAATTTTATGTTTCCCTCCACTTTGAGAGGTCATGTGTTGCACACTAATGTAGTGCTTTGACTGTAGTGATGGAATGAATGGATATGTGTACATTTCCGATAAAGTCGTTTGCCCTCCTTTAATTGCTGCACCTGTTGAAGGGATGGAGAACATAGCTGGGAGTCAAGTTATGTAAGTCATATTGTCCGTTGTAATTGCCGTTCCTGAAATGTTAATAGTGTACATGTGTAAGGGTGACAATTTCTTCTTTATTTTTGTATTTAGTTTATTCATTTTTTTTTTCAGATCTGTATTCTATGAACTCCCGTGTGTGCATGCGCATGTACCTAGACTACCTGAAGGAGTTATCATTCCTAAAAAGGTTGCCTTGCCGTTTTCTCTTTTGGCATTTTTTTCCCTCAGTTCTGTGGATATTAGGTGTTTAAAGCTCCACCACAGTAGCGGGTGACATGTGGGATGAAAGACATGCCTGTGCCATTCTTCTACTGTGGCTAGATGGCCTACGAGGCCCTCTCTGCTATGGCGTATTAATTTTTGATGTCGGATGTCATGGTTACGGGTCTTATAATGGTTCCACTCTTTGTTCCTCAGTTGGTTACCAAGCGAGACTTGACTCTGGCACGGGTATTGTGGCATGAGGACTCTGCTCTTCATGGCCGTGTTACTTTGAAAAGGTTATGAAACTTCAAATCTCTTACTTTTTTCTTAGAAAAAACCTTCAAATCTCTTGCTTTGCTTCTCCTTCCTATTGAGACTTTCTGATGTTGGTTGTCATGCCACTATATGCAGACCTGTTCCAAATTCTGTGTCAGGTGCTTATTTGGGAAGATTGGCTCATCAACTTGTGAAGAAGTTTTACAAGCACCAGGAGAGAGAGTCTGTAACCCCCGCAAACCTCAAGTTTGCCTTCTCTAATGTTTTTGGTGGGCTGTCCAAAGAGATGTGCACCAATGGCATAAATAATAATAATAACACATGTGGCAATAAGAGGACAGAAAGGGAATGTCACAGCAAGGATGAAACAGAAGCCAAGGGTGTTGCACCGTTAAAAAGAACAAGTAAAGAGGTGGAAGGCACACATAAAGGAAGCGAATATGATGGTGAAATTAAAATGGAAACCGAAAGCCTCCCATGTGGAGAAAAGACGAGGGAGCAGGCAAATGGCATGAGCAAAGGAAGCGAATATCCTGACAATGGCCAAATGAATGGCAAGAGAAGAAGAGCATGGAAACAGTTGGATAGTGCGGGGAAAGAAGGGGAATGTAACTGCTCAGGCAGAACAGAAGTTAGAAAAAGGGAAGAGGCAAACCACATGAGAGAAATGGAATATCGTGACAACGGAGAAATGAAAGCTGAAAGTCTCCCATGTGGTGAAAAGGCAACGGAGCAGACGAACAGTATGAGGAAAGGAAGCGGAGAGCACAGCAGCAGTGAAATGAAAGCCAAGAGAAGAAGAAAAAGAGCAAGGAAACAGGCGGATGGCCCGAGGAAAAATGGGGAGTGTAAAGGCATTAGTGAAACAGAAGCTAGTACTAGGGAAGAGGCAGATGGCTTGAGGAAAGAAAAGGAGTATCACGACAACTTAGAGAGGAACACCGAAAGTCAACCCTGTAGTGAAAAGACATGGGAACACGTGGATGGTATGGGGAAAGAAAGTGAATATCACAGCAAGAACGAAATGAAAGCCAAGAGTAGAAGAAAAAGAGTGATGAAAGAGGCAGATGGCAAGAAGGATGAGGATTGTAATGGCAACAGTGAAACAGAAGCTAGAGCAAGGGAGGAGGCAAACGACGTGAGGAAAGAAACTGAATATTACAAAAATGGAGAACTGAAAACTGCAAGTTTGCCATGTGGAGAGGAGGCAAGGGAACTGGAGGAAAGTATGAGGAAAGGAAGGGAATATCATCGAAACAGCAAAGCGGAAGCCAAGAGAAGACGTGCAAGGAAACCATCAGATGGTGTGCGGAAAGAAGCGGGGTGTAAGGGCAACAGTGAAGCGGAATCCGTGAGAAAAAGAGCATGGGAAGAGGCAGACGAAAAAGAAAAGGAACATCATTGGAATGGTTAAACAAAGGCCAAAAGTCTGCCATGTGGAGAGAAGGCAAGGGAGCAGGAGGATGCGATGAGGAAAGGAAGTAAATATCATGGCAATGGTGAATTGAAAGCCAAGAAGAGAAGAAAAGCAAGGAATCAGGTTGACGGCACTAATAAAGAAGGGGGACGCAAAGTCAACAATGAGATGAAGCCCTAGAGAAATAGGGTAAGAGGAGACAAATTACAAAAGCAAGGGAATATCACAGCAATGGTAATATGAAAGCCGAAAGTTGCCCATCTGGAGACAAGGCAATGGACGAGGTGGGGAGAGTCCTTAGTAGCTGGTGGGTAACATGCTCATTTGACTGGGAACCTTCGATGCCCTTGGTGCATTTGCAGGTGATGATGGTAGGCCGCAACACATACCGTCTGTCCATGGCATGCATATCATCCAATTTTCCATGTTAGAAGTTCTCCCATTTTTTTTGTGTTTTTTTTTTGGGGCGGCTTTGCATTCAATTGATAATTTTGGGATTGGGAAAATGGCTATTGTATTTACTTATTCTAATTTCTTAGTGTGGATCACATATTCTGCTGAGCAGTAGGAAATCATCTGGTATGCCCTGATTTAGCTCTCTCGTTGTGTTGAGATATTCATCTTTCAAAGGAACTTTATTGTTGGTGAAGATGTGTTTTATACCTCACAAAGCATAGGGATATTCATGCTTGTTGGGGAGCTTCCCATGTAGCATGCACCGTAGGGACTAGTGAGCATGAACTGTTTTATCTTGAGATATTTTATGGCTAAGCATCTCATGAGATTTTCCATTTCAATTCTTACATTTTTTTTTTCTGCTTTTTCCTTGTTTCAATTTTTGATTTCTGAGAAACTTGCAAAACATTGAATCTTGCCTGTAGTGTGGGCGAGATATTTAATCATGGTGCCAAATTATGCAACGTCCTAAACTCCTAATCCTCGGTCAACCAGTGAAAGTTTCACGGAAATTAGTCGCAGATTTAAACCTAGATTAGCTTTTTTAAAGGAAAAAGTTTATATATGTGCGACGCTCTACCTCAGAAATTTCATTAGAGGAGGACGTTTTGATACCCAAATATACAAAATTTTTTTGCCTTATATTCATTGTTTTTAATACAGAAGCCAGTCCGATATTACATATTGCATTCTTAATTTTTTTTAGAACAAAAGCCGGGCTGCATTCTGTTCTTTTTTTTTAAAACAGAAGCTGATCCGATGTTACAAAGAAATTTTATTCATTTTTTTAGAACAAAAGACGGTCCAATGTTATATACATTAGATCACATTCTGTTTAAATCTTTTTGAATAGATTGTTGTTTGATGTTAGAAACATCGAACCGTTTTATTTTCATTTTTTTAGAACAGAAGTTGGTCTGATGTTTGTATTTTGTTCAAAAAAATTTGATGTTTTTTTTAACTGAAGTCGGTTCGATGTTACAAACATCGGATCGCCTTTTGTTCAAATTCTTTATAACATAAGCTGATCCGATGTTTCTAACATCAACCTGCATTCTGCTAAAAAAAAAATTGAAGTTATTATGTACATAATGCGATTCGATGTGAGAAACAAGATTTTTTTGCATTCATCCATGTTCAAATAGTTCAACGTCATTACGTTCATATATGGAGCAATGAAATTATAAACATGATCATCAAGAAGATTGATTGTTTAAACAAAACAAGCTTCGATCAAAAGTCCTCGGGCTCAATTGCATCGTCTGAATTATGAGAAAATTCGCTCTAATTATCCGATGCGTCAGTGAAGTCCATTTGGTCTTCAGGCGTACTTGAGAATTCCGCTCTTCCTTAAGTGTAATTCCATTTTCACTCATGGCACCCTTTCAAGTTTTCACCATGTCCGGTTTCTTATTTTCAGAAGACTTTTACTCATGGCTCATGACCATGCCTGTCTGTTATTTTTACTCATGGTGCCCTTTCGGGTTTTTACCATACCCAGTTTTTTTTTTTGGTAAATTTTACCCATAGCATGGCTATGTCCGCCTAAAGCTCTCACTTTTATTCATGACGATCATCATCAGATGCTCATCATGCATGGCTTCTCTGCTTTCCTTGGTAATACAGAGAAGATAGGGGTACTTGCATAAAGCTCCCTGGGGCAACAAATACCATAGGTGGGGCTTTTATTCAAGGGTCGGTTTCGCAAGGTGATGAATGGTTCTCACTTGCTGGGTGTGGAGGATTTTAGAAGGCTCAATAGTTTACCTGATGCATAAAAACTCCACGGGGTGCTCCACCCTAGCAGCTTCATCCCAACGGCTTTGTCACCTACGTCTTCGTCACCAGCGGCTTCGACATCCTGCGACCCGGCCTTTATTTCCTTGCTCCATTAGCATCTGTGCGCACGTCCGAACACACCCCTTACAATGATTCTTCTTTACCCCCTCTTGCACACTGATAGTACCTGTTAGCCACTACGTGCCTGACTTAGTGCTTTCAATATTATTTTAAGAGTTTCAATTCTCTTATTACCGCTCTAACTTCCACTCCGTAAAGTTGAGTTGAGCTGTGAGAGATATACTCTTGCCCTCCCTCACTTGGGTGGAGTTATCCTGAGTTGGTGATTAAGAGAGTTCCAACTCTTTTAGTTGTTTTGATTGCTGAGTTTCGTAGCACAAGTGAGTAAGAGAACTTCGGTCTCCCTTCTTCTTCATTCTTTCTTTGCCAGCCGTCCCCACTCAATTACACCATCAGAGAGGAGAGTTTTATTTGAATCTACTTTGCGATTCTTGAGAAGAAGAACTGAGATGATTTGTCTAGTTTGAGGAGAGTCTGTGTCCAAACCACGCTGACAGACAGCCGGAGGGCTGCGTAATTATTTTAAGAGGGTGACTACTTGGGCGTATCCCTGAACCCTTCAAACGATGAGGTAAGCGTCTAAAACGCGTTGTTGTCAATAAAAATATCTCTTGTTGTTGGTTACTATCCGCATCAGGAGGAGCACACGTGTATGCCTAAAACACCTAGATGTGTAGTCTCTTCGCGATTGTTTAAGAGAGGGTTTCCCCCCCGCTGGAACGCCGTTTGCGCGCGAAGCAAAAATCAGGCTCTGACCAACTAGCGACTCCACTGGGGATATGCCACTTTATAGTTGGTTCAGATTGTCATTGAACAAACATATCATTTCTTTCTTTATCTAAAATTGCAATGGAGTTCAATCACTCCTCTTTCGTCCAAAATTGGGGACTTCATCATTCTCCTATTTGTGACCTTACCCATGGGAAACAAGACGGTTCAAATTTGAAAATCTATTTTCTCTTTAATATTAAATAAATAAATAAATAAAGCTTCACATATACCATGCATGGCTCATGTGTGAGTTAATTAAGGCGTGATAGAAAGGATGCCTTAAGTTATAACACTATATAACAAAATATAACAATATATAACAAGACACCACAACACAACCCCCTTATAAAACAAGCAACCAAATGCCAATCTAGTCCTCTACCTAGGGATCAGCGGCCAGTTGGGCGGTGATCCTAGGGTGAGGCGTGGGGTGCCACGTGGCAACCCTATGGCCACTTGGATGCCACTGGCACTATCAGGTAAGGACTAAAGTAGAATTTAAGCCAAACAATTTGAAAAAAACTTCATTTTTGAGCAAATAAAAATTATCTAAAATACACAAAAAATATTTCAAATATTTTGAGTAACTAGTATATTTTTCTAATAATTATAAAATATGACAAAAAGTATAGTGAGATCTCAGGCCAATAATTGTAGGTATCGGAGTACTCCATTGGGCTAGTCCCGAATGATGTTCCGTCCAGTTTCAGATCGATCCAATAGACTTATGTTCCACCGTCTAAAGCAGGGACATATAATTGGCCATATCGAAGTCGTTGAGCTAGAACTTTCGATTAACCAGCTCTCAATGGATTACAGGTGTACTTTTGTGGGACATGATCTAACTCAATTACAGGAGTCCTCTTAAAGCACATGTGCACTGACTCTTCCAAACTAGGATAATGTATTTGGAAGAGTGGCTTCCCGTACGAAATGAAAATGCGCATTCTATGGAATGGTCTTATGTAAGGATACAAACTTATGTCCCATAAGTCTTGACCATTCCTTACAACGCGAATACTCAATAAGTACTCGAGTTCTATTTTTCTCGTTTGGATTATCCAAGCCCTGGCGAATCACAGCTAAACATGAGACTAACCTATACAATCCTAACTAGGAGGTGACCCTCACACCTCCTTGAGAAATTGCTTTCTCAACACATGAACTCTCAATGCCTCATGTATACTTGGGGTAAAAGAATCTGGACTCCATTTCGCAAGGCGCCAAGATTTCAATCTCTCAATCGCTCCCACTGAATGAGAGGTTACTGGAATTTAGGCCTTGATAGGCTATATTTCCAACACACACATATGGGGGATGGTTCAACCATTGCTGTGATAAAACATGGCAAACAAGAGCTTTCCTCGACTACCTCACCTGCTTCGAGCCTCTTGGGACCCGGACCCGTAACACTTGGTCATTAGACCATTAATGCATTGTATGTTAGTCATTCAGCTCGGGGCAGCTCCAAGGCTGCACCCAAATGAGCACACGACCTTCGAATCAATCGAATGTCCCGTAAAAATGCGCACGTACATGCAAATGGCTCTAGGGCCACTTATATTGCAAAGGCAGGTATTTCACATATCAAGCCTTTCACTTCACCTGGGGGTGGATCACGAACCACCTTGAACACTGCTGTGGACTGCACACACACGTGCAGGTCCGAGGTTGCTATCAATTGCAAGAGATAAGGGCAATCGAATGTGCCATTGGCCACCCAGAAACCCATGACCATGTAGTACTCGAAGAAGTTCCCTTCAAGCACTATCCTCTCGACTCCTTCTTCATACATGCGAACTGGCCCCCAAGGCTGGACTCGGGGCAAGATGGTTCCCCAAGAAGCGACAAAGCAGTGTCCCTCCCCTTCAAGCAAAAGTAAACTTCTAAAATCGACTCCGAGCTCCCTTCTCCCAGGGTACCATACATTGTCCGAATTGATTGACTTTGCTCTCATCACTTTGAGACAACCCACTCAATCTGGATGTCCGATTCAATTCCAATTTTGGATTAAGCAGAGGAAGGGAATGGAAGTACCACTTTGTAAAAGGAAAGTAAAGTCTTCAACCCTAGAAGACCCACTAAAGCGAAACATGTTCTATCCGTTGCAAACAATGGAGGAATTCGAGGCACGTGACATGGTACACTGTTGCGTCATAGAGGTCCAAGAGGATAAGCCAAGTTCGTTCGAACCATGGCCTCAAGCCTATCACGAGCAATTACCAGATCCGCGGCCCCAAGGCTGTCATGAGCTTGAGTGAGATATGGCCCTAAGGCCGTCTCGAGCCCATCCAAGTTGAAAGATGGCCCGAAGGCCTTCATGCACCATGCTCGTCGGCAATGCGGCCCCAAGGCCGTCCAGAGCCAATACTCACCCGATCCCTGAGCATTCCCAAGAATAATCAGGGCAAGCCGAGCCTTTGATACTTGGACTGCCGAATCGTGGCTTGAAAAGAGTCAAGACCACTCTTATGTTTGAACTGCAGAATCATGGCGAACGAGTTGATGTAATGATGGTTAACCTAAAGATTTGATGGCTCGCTATAATATTATGATGAACAA